ACATTTTAATGATTTTTTGCGGGAAGTGAGTAATTCGTTTTTCATCGATTCTGAGAAAGTTCACTTTTTGAGTTAATACACTGTTGTATTAACAGTGCGATATTGTAACAGTTTTTTACTCAAAATATGAAATTCTAAAGCAATAATGAATTTATAGACCGATGACAAAAGTTCATAAACACGAGCATTTGAAAATTTGTTTTAAAATTTTCGCGAGGCTAAAACTGTTAGAATCTTAACAGAATATTCCCTTTGGGAATGGGTCGTATAATTAAGTTACTTGTACCCTCGCACGGGTATCTCCAGAAAAGGTTCGGTAAATCCATTTGGGGCATATATATGTGGAAAGTGTTGGTGTAAAAGCTTACGGTCGCTTTTGCTTTAACATTGATTTTACTCGGTCTTATGAAACACGCACCTGTGATTTTAAATTCAAATGTCATTATTTCATTGGTAAACAAATTGTACTAATAATCGTCACATTGAGGAAATTCATTAACAAATTCTCCTGAAAAATAACCAGTAAGAGACTCTGAGGGTTGCTCTTTTGTAAATAAAAATTAATTCATACAATATTGTGTATATGTGGACCATAGGACTTGAAGAGCAAAAAGCTAGAGAGCACAAAACGCTGGTGTATTTGAAAAGTTTTAATCCAAAAAAATAGTTTCGTTTCCTATCTGCAGCAACCACGAAAACGTCACAACTCAATACATTCGTCATCCAACAGCGCTGAATCTGAGTAATAAACCTGGTGTGCAAAGTTTTCACTCCACGTAGTATTAAACCTCGTATACGTAGAAGTGTATACCTACAAGTCCCTTAGATGAATTTTAATTTTTAACAGCCATTTTAATTTTGTTCCGCGAATAAAAATTATATATATCATTATTTTCCACGAAAATAATAATATTCTTCTGAACATGAAGTTCATTTTTATAAAATGCACAAATAATTTCTGTAAACTTATCTCGCAGAGAAGCCCTAAGGTCCAGTTGTAAACCAGCCCTAACAGGACGCTTCTGCAAAACAAATATATTCTTTGAATTTAAGTGGCAGTGGAAGTCTCTAAATACATTGCGGTCCCAAGTCGGCCGAAGCAAGGAGATCATGCACAGGTGGGGTAGCTCGGTGAGCGCATGTATTTGTGGTGTCTCTTCCCAGATTAGTGCACAACTTTTGTCTTATTCTGTGCGCCCTTACACCTGCACACGCGAGGACCTATACAACACCACTGATAATGCTGTCAGTCGCTGGGCACTAATCCTCACAAATATAAACGTCAGAGTCGACACGCTAAGAAGAAGGCATTTTCACAATTAAGTAGAAATTATCTACATATACGTTCCACATTTGGGTACAACTTTTCTGTCAAGGTGTGGGTGTACAGCCAATCCGGGTTAGGAAACCTCACATGCCTCACGAAGTTCCTATTTACCATAGTTAAACGTAGTAATAGTAAACTACACTGCACATGAATTCAAAATGTACTGCAATCGTACTCATCACTTATAATTAATTTACTTTAAAAAACGACAAAGACAATAATTGTATAGACAATAGTGTTGTGTAGTTACAACAAAAGATCAAAAACCTGTTAAAACCGGTAAATTATTTATATTATATTATTGTTCTCTACGTACATACCTTGTCTGTTCCAAAATTGTTAGTCTTAGTTTTTTATTTCCTGTATTATGTATCAAATGGAAGGTAATTTCATTACTAATAAATTCTCCTATGTACCTAATTTTATTACGTTATCATACTCATATCTTAGTTGAATCGAAACTATAGACTACCATTTGTTACGATCAATATGTTTTTGCGCTTTTCTCAGTCCTTTCATACGCGCTTCTTTTCCCGCCATTTTTGTGATACTTTTTACCGATGCAACAAAATAATGAATCTAACGTTTTCTGCTACACAGGTCAACGACACTTCAGTGGAGGGTGTACCGCATTCGATAGCCGTGGACGCATTGCA